TACCCCAGCCCCCAGGCCCGGCCCTCCATCGTCTCCCTCTACCCCACGCTCAACCCCTCGCTGCGCCGCAAGCTCACCCAGGACTCTGTGCTGCAGTAGCAGAGGCAGGGCACGGGCAGGGCGTGGGCTCCCGGCCCAGGACTCGGGCTGCCGAGGGACAGCTGGTTTGGGTGGGTCCCTGGACGGACACTGCCTCCCGCCTGCCAGCCTGGCCTGCCTGACTCCTGCCAGGACACATGAGGTTGGCTGCCTCGTCTGCCGGCTGGCAGCGCGGGTATTGGAGCCGCCCCGCCCTGGACGGCGCCAGTACCCCGGGGCCATGGTGCTTGTGGGTGGGTGCTCAGAGCCCCGGGACAGAGAGCCGACCCCACCTCAAGGCTTGGCTTTTTCAGTGGGGCAGAGGCCATTTTAAATCCCCCAATCCTTTGAGTGGGGGCCCCCCCTCTCCATATGCCCCCCAGCTGCGCCTGCTGCAGGGTCCCCCTGGCCTGGACAGACTCCAAGTGCCGCTGCTGGCTCATCACTCCCAGGGACGTCCTGCTTCACCCCACCGGGTCTGCAGCGACGCTGGGCCCAGCACCAGGCGGACCAGGGCTCCCGGCTGCCGGGCAACAGGCTCGGCCCATGGACCACAGCTGCCGGCAGCACCTTAGCGCGAGCTGTGCTGCTGCTTGGAGGGCAGCCACTGGCTGGGGCTGGGGCATGCAGGGCTCTCAGGAGGGGCAGGACAGGGCTGGGGGTGATTCAGGACAGGGATGGGACTGGCCAGGGCGCAGTGGGGCCCAGAAAGGGGACAGGCTGGATGGGACCTTGGCATCCCTGCAGCAACCCACATGCTCTTCCTAGCAATAAAAACCTAGTTGGTTCCATTCTCTGCACGATGTGGGGTGCCGACGTCCCGCCCCACAACAGGAAGGGATGCTCATGGGGGGCAGTGATGAATTTTGGAGCTGGGGTCAGGGAAGTTTTTTCACCTGCGTTTCATTGCAGGAGATCCACTGAGGGGCTTACGGGCCAGAGTGAGGCTGTGTGTCTGTACGGCTGTGTCGCCGTACATCTGTATCTGTGAGTCTGCGTCTATACGGCTGTGTGTCTATACGGCTGTGGCTGTGCCTTGTGTCTGTACGGCTGTGTCGCCGTACATCTGTATCTGTGAGTCTGCGTCTATACGGCTGTGTGTCTGTACGGCTATATCTGTGAGTCTGCATCTATACGGCTGTGTGTCTGTACAGCTATATCTGTGAGTCTGCGTCTATACGGCTGTGTGTCTGTACGGCTGTGTCGCTGTACATCTATATCTGTGAGTCTGCATCTATACGGCTGTGTGTCTGTACGGCTGTGTCGCTGTACATCTGTATCTGTGAGTCTGCGTCTATACGGCTGTGTGTCTGTGTGGCTGTGGCTGTCGTTGGTTAGCTCTGTGCCTTGTGTCTGAACGGCTGTGTCGCTGTACATCTGTATCATCTGTGTCTATGTGCCTGTGTCTGTACCACTGTGTCTGTATGGCTGTACATTTGTATGTCTGTGCGTCTGTGTGTCTGACTGTACTGCTGTACATACGTATGTCTGTGTGTGTGTCCATGGGTGAACCCCCAGAATGTTGTTTTTATCAGGGGCTGACCAGGCTCCACGGGTTGTGGGGCTGTGCCTTGTGTCTGAACGGCTGTACCTTTTGTATGTCTGTGCATCTGTGTCTATGTGCCTGTGTCTGTACCACTGTGTCTGTATGGCTGTACATTTGTATGTCTGTGCGTCTGTGTGTCTGACTGTACTGCTGTACATACGTATGTCTGTGTGTGTGTCCATGGGTGAACCCCCAGAATGTTGTTTTTATCAGGGGCTGACCAGGCTCCACGGGCTCTGGGAGCCTGCGGTTGACCAGAGAGCAGCTGGCAGACCGGCCCCAGCAAGCCCAATGGGGAAGGGACTTTAGTCTGGACCCTTTAAAACTCACCCACGTTGGTTAGCTGGTGTTAGTGGCGGGGGGGGGGGGGGTGCACACAACTCACCACACTTGGGGCCCACGTTGCCCCCCCATTTCCCCACAAGCACCCGAGCCAGAACCCCGAGATTTTGGGTTTGTTTTTAATCCACCTCCAGCTTGCCCATAATTCCGGGAGCTGGGGCTCTCAGCAACTCACCTACCACATGCCGTGAGCTCCCGTGGCCGCTCTCAGGAGCCCAGGCCCTGCTCCTGCCCATCAGCCCCCCCCTCACCCCAGCCCTTCCCGGGCCCCCAGCCAGAGGCGAGCCCCGAGGGTCCCAGGCTGCGGGGCAAACGAGCAGAGAAACATGGAGGCTTTCAACAGCCTGAGGCTGTCTGGCTTCTCTGCCCCAGCCTTTGTCAGTTGCCGTGAGCTCCCGTGGCCGCTCTCAGGAGCCCAGGCCCTGCTCCTGCCCATCAGCCCCCCCCTCACCCCAGCCCTTCCCGGGCCCCCAGCCAGAGGCGAGCCCCGAGGGTCCCAGGCTGCGGGGCAAACGAGCAGAGAAACATGGAGGCTTTCAACAGCCTGAGGCTGTCTGGCTTCTCTGCCCCAGCCTTTGTCAGTGAGCGTGGCTCCTCCCTGCCCCCCGGCGGGGGGCCCGCCCGCCT